CGACGCTCTCAGGGTCGCCCTCGTCTTGAATGACGTAATGAGGCGTCGATTACGGTGCGCCAGTGTCCCGAAGGGTGCAGAGCCACTAGCAAGTAACGCCAGTCGGTTAAATTGATACCGGAAGTCCACCGGTCTGACGACCGTCGTCCAACACGTCACTCCTCGCACGCACTCATACACTCGCCTCACTACGACGAGGCAGCAAAGATAAATTGCCGGGTAAGATTGTTATCACCCATCAATGTATTAAGCGGGAAGAGAAGTTACTCGAACGGAGCTGATTTATTGGCAGTCCGGGAACAAAAAAAAAAATATATATATATATATTCATTATTGGCTAATTCCACGGCTTCTCGTCTCCATCTCGTTTTCACGACTGCTCGCGTGCTTCTGACGATCTATTACAACTGTTAAAAATACATTGATCGTCATTGGTAATTAACAAGCCTGGGAGAAAAGAGTTTTCGACTAGAATTTACGAGAAGAATACTCGGCGAGCATATATCCGGCGATATGCGTGAAGGGAGCTTAGAGACACGAGGACCGCCCGCAAGCTCTTCTCAGGAGTGCGTAGATTATCTCCGAATGTACCGACCGTATCCCTCGCAGGTTTGCCGAGCCCTTCGATCGTGGGCGCGAGGACGATGCATCCTCCACCCAACAATGGTCTTTGGCCCCGGGGCGAGGGCGCGGCGCCCCTCTCTCTCTCTCTCTCTCTCTCTCTCTCTCTTTGTCTCGAAGGGTGATTGGGAGGGAGCGCGGTCAAGGACACGGAGGATCGTTCGACTGACAGATGTGGACTTTTATGGGTTGCAGGCAGCCAGAGGGGAAGGAAGCTCGAGAAGAGGAAGGGGTCGGAGGAGAGCCTGAGCTCCGCGGTTGTCGGCAGCGATAGCACGATAGCACCGCTGGTGCCCTTGGCCGTGGGTCCCGGGGGGACGGGCGCCATGGCGGCCTCATCGTCCTCGTCGAGCGGCGAGCAGCAGTACTCCCTGAGATGGAACGATTTCCACTCGAGCATCCTCAGCAGCTTCCGTCACTTACGTGACGAGGAGGACTTTGTCGACGTGACGCTCGCCTGCGACAGCAGTAGCTTCACCGCCCACAAGGTCGTCCTCTCGGCGTGCAGCCCGTACTTCCGCAGGCTTCTCAAGGTCAGTGTGACTCCTCTATCCTCCATCGCTAACGCGCCGTTGGTGGGGTGCGTGCGTTTGCGGTGTGAGGAGGGGGTAGGGATGGGGGGGGAGGGGCTAGGGGAACGGGGTGACCGCGAATCGGTCGGGGGGTAGGGGGAGGCGGTAAGGGTGGGGATGGGTGGGTGACGGGAGAGGGGTGGAGGAGGATAAGACGCCGCTCCAATTTGGCTACCGGTTCGACGCTCGAGCTCCAGTACACCGTTGTTGACGTCTCCTTCCGTAAATTATTGCTCGCTAAATCCGTGCCCGGTTAAACGGCAGCACTGTACGACGCGCAAAGTCAAGTACATGTAATTTATTTCCCTCCACTCTTGGGAATGACGCCTCGACTGACGAGCGCCTCCCGTCCAAGAGCTCATACGTCGCTTTCATTAGTGTTGACATCTATAGTGTATGTACAACCGTGGCCATTTACTCGTCCAATATACGCACTATATTTCCTTATCTTTCTTCAGCTAATATTAACTTCGTTATCGTTATGGTGTATTGGGACGACCAACGATTTTCAATATTCATTTGTCTGTCATTTTATATATTGGATGAATGTCAATAAGAAAAAACTGTAATTAAGGAAAACAAAGAGCCGCAACCTATTACTTATTACTTAACCTCCTCGTCGCGATCATAATTATTATCACCATTATTATTATCACCATTATTATTATTATTATTATTATTATTATTATTATTATTATTATTATTATTATTATTATTATTATTATTATTATTATTATTATTATTATTAGTATTTATTATTTCTATCGATAATTACTCATTTTTCTCATTACCATTATAATTTTGAGAATGCAAATTGTAAAATGAATTTTGAATATGTTGGTTATTACTTTTGTTTTGTTTTGTTTTGTTTCTTATCTTTTTGATTAAACAAAAATCAGTGCTAGGTGCTCTTATTTAATAGACTCATTACAAAATAGATTTAAGCTTATTATTTGAATTACTTTGTCGATTCAAAACTAGCTTTTATAATAATAGAAAAAAAGTTTTAAAATGCAAAATTAAAAAAGGTGTACCGTGGTGTCTTGATCGTCTATTCGTATGAAATTTCTTTTATATGCTGTTGCCTACAATAGTGGGCATGTCTTTTTAAGTATTGAATTACACATTTCGTACGTATCGTTATGAAATCTCGTAAGTGGGCTCTTTGTATGAATCCAAAGCGTTTAGCTTACAATGCGTGTATGCCTGTATTATTATTAAAGCTATTACCACGCGCCTGAGAAGGATAAATTTGTGGATACGTAGGTAATGTCATTGTATGCCTACGATGATTCATCGAAGCAGTCACTCGGGTTGCTCCATAAGGACATATCCTCGTTTCGATCGTGTAGCTCATACACACATATTTCATTTAGAAAGGAAAAAAAGAAGCCCACTTTAATAGACGCTGCTGCCTCCTTATCGACTGTTAAACGATACATCCTCGCGTCTTATAATTAATATTACCGCTTTAAATAATGCGTACAAAACTGCTCGAGACCATTTTAGGCAGTGACGCCGGCCGAGCCCCTGCCCACCTATACTTTATATCCCCCCTTCCTCCGTTAATACGTCCAACATGCATCAACCGCGTACGCGTGCGTTTCATAATAGTATCGTAACTTCTCATTTAATATTGCTGTCCTTCCCTATCTTCGAAGTTACCCGCGCGCTCGCGTTCAACGGCCGGAAGTCCACTCGAGAAAACAGGTAAGTCAAGCTCTCTCTCTCTCTCTCTCTCTCTCTCTCTCTCTCTCTCTCTCTCGACTTTGGTGGGTATGGGTCTAGGCTGCATCGCGGACAGACTTGTTCTACGATCGTATCATTAGCCTTTTACAGCAACAAATTTTTATTCGTCGAGCGAGCGAGACCATGCAGGTACAGCCAAGGCACTCGCCCATTAAAGCGACCTGCGTGTTTTATTGTCTTGTAATATAAAACGCCCAAAGGTAAACAACTCGCGCGCTCGCTCATAACGCAGCTCGTATCTAGCGATATTACGCCAGTGCCCCGCCGTCGCAATCAACTCGCAGAAAGCACGCTTGTAATGATAAGCGAAAGTCACCCCACGGGGAACGGGGCAACGAATCGAGCGTCAGAACTCGTTGATTTTTCGCCGTCGGTGCTACGTCTGGTACGCGCAGGCCCTCCCCTGTCGCACGCGATCCGCTCGCCTCGACTCGCCAAGTCCTAGACAAACCATTGAAAGTGACATTCCCCGCTTTCCTGCTCCTCTTTCCGATTATTACTGTCTTCAGCATCCCCACCTCGATGCATCTGCGAAAGCCCCGTAAGCGGAGAAACGAAGCTAAGCTTTGCGAGGAGCAATAACAAGCTCGTGCTAGCGCATGCGAGGAGCTATGCTGTCCCAGGGGGCGCGTGCCTCTGCCCCATGGGCCACCCACGCGGCCCGTAATAACACTAAACAATCGCCGTTAAGGGCCAGCGATAGCGGCGCTCCACGCCGAGGCCCCGCCGCCAGAAAAAATTTCTATTCTCGTCGCGCGCCTCTCTCGGGGAGGCCTCGATTGCACAATCTTACCCCCCCCCCCTCCTGCCTTTTACGCGCACTAGCGCACTTTCGTTCTCTTTCGTTCTCCGTGTTGCTGGCGACACACCGCGCGCTCTGCTCCATATTCTATTCTATTATTAAAAGGTGGGCACTACGTTTGCCGCGAATGCGCACGTGCACGCGACGTTGATCGTACCTACACCTCCCATACGTACGCTTTGTACCAGCGGATGCGAGTCCCGCTGCACGAGATTGCCGACCGCCGGCCCTCCTCCTTATCATTGTTATTATTATCGTCGTCGTAGTCGTTGTCGTTGTCGTCGTCGTCGTCATCGCCGTTGTCGTAGCCGTAGCCGTAGTCGTAGTCGTCTTAGCCGTTGTCGTAGTCGTTGTCGTCGTTATCGTTGTCGTTGTCGTTGTCGCTATCGTTGTCGTTGTCGTCGTCGTCGTCGTTATTGTTATTATTATAAATCTCGCTCTTTAAGCGAGTGCATCGTCAGTATAGTATGGTATAACAACGGAATCCGTATCGTCTCGTCGTCGCGTCAATTACGCTTGGCTCTGTGATTAAATCCGTAACTTCATCACAACAACATAATTATGCAATTACTGGGTCACGAAATCATATTAACGTAATGGAAATGATAAATCGAAGCTCACATTACAAAGAGATTATCCGCGTAATTCTTATAATACGTTAATTGCTTCCGAGTAACTAGATAATCGCTAGATCCGCGTCATTTATTTATTCGACCACCGTCAAACGCACTAAATGGCGCGATCAGATGGAACGAGTCTCGCATGTAGCAAAAGTTCGTTATGAGCAAGACTTGCCTTGCTTTGACACCAACTAACGTCCCAACAGGTAAATTAGTAAAACCTTTCCGTTATTACTCAAGTTCGTAAATGCATATCTTGCAATTGCAGTAAGTGGGTATTTCAGTCACTTGACGCAATATTGTGCATTACTAATGTTCACGACACATCGCACTATAGACACTCGATTTTTCTCCATCAATCTTCCCGTATTAAAGATAAAAAAAATCCGAGTAACCAAAGAATTATCAATTTATAAGGAGTTAAGTGGTAAAAGGTTTATTACATAATAATTTATCAATGCAAAAAATTATTACGATGATTTTATCGTACGCCATGCCGAATATAACGTCGAGTGATTAAATAACTTACTTAGAATGTACCTTAAACTTAAACGAACAGTTATGCGCATTTAAAAAAATAAATATATATATACACACACACACACACACACACACACACACACACGTATATATATATTTCCGTAAATATTCCTCATAAAATTGCTATAAAAAGAGAGGAAATTTTAGTCTCGGTAATTATTCCCCATTTACCTTACGAAAAGGAAAATTACGCGTAACTTTATGCCAATGGGTATTTCCTTACTTTAAAATCGACGAAATTCAATAAATCAACGCGTTGCCTACATATTGAATTTCGCTATATTACATAAACTTTATCGAAGTGTTGGTAGGTATAGTAATAAGAGTCGGCGGCCGGTAATAAATGTCAACTTTAAGTTATGCGTATTGCAAATATTAGCTTTGCATCTAATTATCTATGTTTATTCATCAACATGTTGGACGAAAAAAATTTTTTCCCTTACCCAAATACAATGGTAGTCTACAAAAGTTTGAAAAAAAATTTTACCCGACAAGTATGTTGTTGGATTGGGTACCGCGCGGAATAAAGTCGCTCAGGCACCTTCCAACGTTGCGTTTTCATAAAATCTAATAGGCGATCTAATAGTCAAATGACAAATCCAATCAATGATAAATTCTCATTTCTTGAAACGTACTATCGTTATTTCAATATCTTATCTAATATATGAAATTACGGAGTTTTAATTCTCAATGTTGATATAGGCATTATTAATATTAAGTTATCTTTATAAAGTATGTACGGTTAAAGTCAAATTAAGTCTTAATCGTAATATATTATGTGCTTGTAGGCATAAACTTTGATGTTTCGAGATACGTGCTTATTCAAATTTATAGAAGCAGCGAACGTCAGATTATTGGCATTATTGAGTTGTCCAGTTGTCGCTATTGGCAAGATAAATAATGCGCAATTAATCCGACGAATGAAAGAGACGAGTGTTAACAACAAATTAAAATCGTGATATTTTTCATTTGGGTAGAAAGGCGATAAGCTAATGTGAATTGAAATGGCTTTGGAATGTAATTGTGAATAAAGTACGCGTAATGCTCGTATGTGAATACGAGGAGAGGGAAGGATAATGCCGATTGCAGCTTCAAATATCCTTTTCCCAAATAATCCTCGAAGCGAATGTCGATAGATAAGGAAGGATACAGTTTCCGCTTTATTCTTCCAATTTTCCCT